TATTGCAAAACTGGCTTAGGCTGTGGTGAATCGTATTGTTAATGTCACGGCTGGCAAGGCAGGCTATGTAGAGGTGCCACCCAAACGCAGGCACTGAGATAGATGCGGAGATTGAGCTTTATTTTGAGGTGAACAGGATGCAGGAGGAACCGAGAAGGGCATACAGAAAAACTAAGAGAAACCTAAACTGAGGAAACTAACAAAACTGACATGAAACTATCATACGGCGGAAACACGGGGAGACTCGGGGAGACAACACAGACGGACCAACAACAAGCAAAAGGAAACACAGGGCTTATAATACACAACGGCGTAATCAGGGAATAGGAGACAGGAGAGAAACACAGCTGGGAGAAATCAGAGCTGATGAGACAAGGGGAAGCAAAACCAGACACACTAACTTAAGACACAGAACTTCACAATAAAACAGGAAACTCAACATGCCTGTGTAAAAATAAACTAAAGCAAACTAAAAACATAAATCCAGTTTGCTATTTGCCTAAAACATAACAATACATTTTTTTTTAGATTTAAACAAGTTCTAAAACATGTGTTACTTTTATGACGCCTGTTAATCGCTGTGTCATATTGAGAGTATTTCTAAGTAAGCAGTTGTTGACTACATTAGGATTCTGTACTATAATAAAAAAGTAATTGTTTTTAAATTTATACGACAATGATTAAGAGCATTTAGTGTCCAAAATAGTCTTCTCCATCTGCAATGTATTTCCAAATAATTCTAAAAAGAGAATTTTTTGTCAAGATTTTGTATACTCAGAGTCCTTGAGTGTTCTTGGAGACAAAGTTAGAGAAGCAAGGCTGAGTTGTGGGGGTTTTTTGGAGGGGAGGGGGTTCACACAGGACAAAGGATGTTGAACATTGAGCAGATAGACAGTAGGAGATGCAGAAGGTTTGTGTGAGAGAGGAGGATGCTAGGGGATAGGGGGAGATGGAGGCAGAAGATCTGCTGTGGCAACCAGGTGAAAGAAGAAGAAGAAGAAGGGCCCCTGACTGTTGCTATGTATTTTTGCATAAATTTGAAATGTAAAAAAACAAAAAAACAAAACGTTTGAGCTGTAATGATGTAAATCATTGGGGCTAACTGACAACATTTCCCCTAAAACTCACCTTTAAGTACAGTACAGTAAAGTTGTCACAACATTTTACACGCTGGATTGAATCATTTACATTGATTAATCACCTGATGTTAAACATATTGATGACTGCAGTTCCCAGAGTTGGTTGCTGCAGAAGGTTTGCGTATCCAAAATGAGCGTGACTTTCCACTCTGCTTTTATTCTGCCTCTTCTTTTGCTCTCTGTCCTCGTGTCTTATCCCTCCCTTGATGTCTTTCTCACAGTTATCTAAGCGTAATTACATTGCCAGACAGTTAAAAGCCACGAACACAATAGAATTAATGTCTCAGCTACCTTATGCAGGAAGCTTTTCAACAGAGACCGACTCCAGAAAAAAACACACACCTTAAAGCCTGAAATATGAACTCTTATCTCTACATTCACAAGTTCTGCCTGTCATGTTCAGGTGCACAAGCTTCTTTTCTTTCAGTTCCCCCCCTTTTGTGTGTTTTTTTTTTAATCCCATTCTCACCTCCGCCTCTAACTTAATTCCTAAAAGAAGTACCTGCAACTGAAACTCGATTACTGAGATATTATTAATCTGTCTCTGAGTGCATTTCTTTTATTTCAGGTATAATAACAGCATGTAGGTCTTTTCTAAGTAGGTTAGTTACTATACAGACAAGCCCTTGTCGTCTCATTACTACAATGTATTCTAGTGAGCTTTTGTGGAGTTGCTTCTTTTTCTGTTGTTTCTCGTCAGCTTTTTTGGCTATGAGGTGCCATATTAAACCAGAACTGATAGCTTTAAGGAGGTGTAGCACAGTCATGTACACAGTCTAAAGGGATATCGATAATGTGTGGCCTATTTCCTAAAAGTTTACCCCTAAATGATGTTTTTCTTACCAATCAATTTAAAACAATTTACAATAAATGGCCGAGCCAGTTTCTGTGCGACACATTTCCACTGACAGTACACAGAAAGTTATCAGTCACACAACGACAGGTAATCATGTAATGAACAGCCAACAGTGTAGCAGGTCATTTCACTGATGTAATCCCCTCTCTCAGGCTGAAGAGCTGAGAAAGACCTCCCAGGATGACTGCCTAACCCTGCAGTTGATGGATAGACCAAACTGTAAACTGATTAAGAGTTGATATGATGCATCTCACTATGAGGGTGTGTCTAACATTATGCGTTGCTGATAGAGCTGGAATATCAGACAATAAGCACTCAGGAAGGTGGTACTTTATTCTTCAAATCTACATCTATTCCTGGTACTGGTACCGACAACTACATTTCTGGCATAGTGATGTCTCTACTTTGAATTGGGGAGGCACAGTGGTTAGTACTGTTACATCATAGCAGGGAGTTTCATTCCTTCCTTGCCTTGCTTTCAGGCTGGCTCCATGCTCCTTGCAAACCCCAAGTAGGACAGGAATATTAAGAAAATGGATGGATAGATATGTTTAACTGTGGACCATGCAAAGTAAATTTGGGGAATTCAAGAAATGAAAATATGGTGCTAGAAGGAGTATAAGAGACCTGCTTTAAACAGCCTGCTTTAAAAGTGTGAGGTATTTGCTTCTATTTGCAACTATATAATGAAAATTCAGTTCATGTTGGGGCTTTTTAAAACAGCAACAAACTAAATTCACTCAATCTGTCCTTTTTCTAAGCAATTATTTAACCATATGTGTTAAATTCATGACAAACAGTTTAAGAACGAGGCTCTTAGCTCTGGCATCCCACATTTTATTCCCTACTGTGGTTCTCCCACTTCTTCCTGTCACCCAAGCATTTTCACATCTTCCTCTGTTCCCATTTACCTACTAGGATCAGCAAACCAAGGTCAGGTCTATTCATTCTTCCGGAAATCTTTTTAATGCTTACAGCTACGAACCCTGGTTTGGAAGGTGGCCCAGAGTCGTGCCTCGATCAGCCCACTGAGGGATCACATAGTCTTTTTTGGTTTGGAATAGATCCAAGGGTCCTTGAAAGGGAGGAAGTTCAGGATTGGAATTCTTTCAAGTGCCCTCTCCACAGATTAGGGTGGGTTTTTGGATGCTGAATTTGGAACATGGCCAAAGATCTGAGTGAAAGTAAAAATCTGGAATGCTTGGAATGAGATATCCTCTTCGGGCATAAGGGTTGGAATTGTGCCCGATGGTCCAAATAAGAAACACTATTGAAGTTTTTAAGTTTGGAACTTGTTAAAGTATGACTTGTTCAAAGTCCTGGATAAGGGTGTACAAGGGCCATGTATTTATCTCAGGAGAAGTCCTTGTGTTGAAGCAAAGAAGCGTGATTAACATTTAGAACCTGGCAAAGTGTCCGACTGATCAAAGACCCCCTGACATCGCTGTATAAAGCTTATGAATTAAGCTTGGAGCAAATCCAAGCAAGCATGCAACCAAGTGAGCATCTTTAAAGATCAGAGCCTATCAAAGTGTCAGATTTACCCATGGCCCCTGTCTAGGGAATACATAAGTCCATTATTAGGTCTGGAACAAGTCCAGGAGTCTTTCTGCTAAGTGGAGACCAGAGTGCTGATACAGGTGAAAGCAAAGCTCGCCTTTTAAACCCAACTATTTATTTTCCTTTTTTATTGTTGTTGAAGTTGTTGTTTTTGTAGATTTTCCACAGATTTAGAGATAATTTTCATGCCACTGCTTTAACACAAACACAGGAAAAATAAAGGGAATGTAATCAAGAATTCTCATCCAAGTTGAGTTCCAATAAAGAAACAAAAGAAACCCCAAACAAAAGAAAAACATAACCATTGTACTTTATTGGGACATGTTTAGTCCCAGTTTTATTTTTTCGTGTTGCAAAAGAAAGAAAGAAAATAAATACTGCAAGTTGGTTGAAACTTCATAAAGGTCTTTTTCTTATTTATAGTGCCATCGTTGGTGCTTTTACCTGGTGGTTTGTGCATTTTTTTAAACAGGGAATATTTGGATTTACACACAGTTTGTATTCGTTCCCTATTTTCTGTAAGGTTTTGTGTACAGTAACAATCTTAATAGACACTACTCCACACACTTGCACCACAGGACATGCACGTACTTCCTTGTATCCCCTTCCACCTGCAATATGCACTCAAAGTTCTATGAGCATAATAACAATCCTAATTACAAAGCTACCACAGTTTAAGAAGTTACATTAGTGGTCTTTGGTCCCTGTTGTAAAAGATTATAAGAGCTAAATTCAATTAGAGCCTCTGTGAATCCGTGTGCGCGTGCATGTACTTATGCTGAGGGGACAATAATCTGTTTACACAGTCATATTGTGGGATCCTTCCGTCCTTCTGGGGACAAAAAAGCCAGCCTGCATGATGCAAATTAACACATTTTAAGATGAAACATGTGACAAACAGAAAGGTCAATGAATCTGCAGTTATAACTGAAGAAATGAGACGAAGCATGGTTTAGATTCAGATATGATGATTTGTGTCACAATAACACGAGAGCTGTGCAACCAGTTCAAACACACTGGTGTGAGCCACTAGAGAAATAACAGTAAAAAGTAATCTTGCTGTACCGCTGTGTTTGGGTTTTTAATTGAGCATGAGAATCAGTGTTTCTGATAGATTGAGATAAAGTCCCATCTAAACTGTCTGTTTGTTCATGACTCATCATTATAATAAAGGATTAGTGTAACGAAATAAACTAAAAAGGTTGAACAAATGCACAGGCAGGAACGAGTGGAAAATGAACACATTAGCATGCAAACTTGCTGTAATTATACCTGTTCACACACTACAAATATTAATTGCAGTGAGTGCTTAAATGTATTCAAAAACATGTAGTGAACAGTGATGCGGGAATGTGAGAGAAATAAGGTTGGTCATGCAGGCTGCTTCTCTCCAAATGATTTAGAGTGTGTTGTGTGCAGCTCTGTGTGTGTGTGTCTAATCTTACCTTAACCTGTCCAACGTAGGCGTGTTTCTGCTCCTCAATGACAGTGAGGTTCACTGGCAGGGAAGTATCGAACAGCGGGTCGTTGTCATTAACGTCAGTCACCACAATGTTCACCGTCGCTGTAGACGTCTACACACACACACACACAAACGACTGTAAGTGTTTAGTTCAAAGACTCTAATTATTGTACAAACCGTTATTTTTTTTAAATGATGATTATCAGAAACTAAAACTGAATCACGACATTTCAAAGACTGTGTTTTTTTTAACCATCTTATTCTATGTGTCCCTTTTGCTAACATCGTCTTATATAATTAACTAAAGAGTTCATTTTGCTTGCAAATTTGTTGCAATCAGGCCCTGGCTGCCATATCCCTTTGTGCTAGTAAGAACTGTTCACTCTATAAATAGATTTAAAAACTGCTCACTGTTGGTCCACTTGTTCCCTCTCTCTCGATGTAAAAGGTCTGTTTGTTTTAACCCTTTACACCCTGGAAGTATTGCTGTGTGACATTTATGGTGAAAATAGGTAGCAGCCACTTCCTATCTTACACATTGCCAGTACTGTGTTGGACCTCCTTTTGCATTCAAAACTGCCTTAATTCTTCATGGTATAGATTCAACAAGATGCTGGAAACATGCCTCAGAGACTCAGTTGCTGCACAGCCAATCTCCCATTCCACCACATCACACCAGCCACTGGCTATTTGAACACAGTGAACTCATTTTCATGTTCAAGATGAGATCATTTGAGCTTTGTGACATAATGTGCTGTCCTGCTGGAAGCAGACATCAGAAGATCTCCACTTTCTGAGAATCCTCAGAAAAATGGACCTGAAGAAGGAGCTGCTGACCATCTTCTACCGCTGCTCCATTGAAAGTGTGCTGACATATTGCATCGGTGTGTGGTTCTCCAGCTGCACCACAGCACACAGAAAGGCACTCCAGAGGGTCATCAACATGGCCCAAAAAATCATTGGACATCCTCTTCCCTCCCTGAAGGACCTGTACAGCACTCGCTGTCTCAAGAGGGCACGCAGCATCCTACGGGACTGCACACACCCAGGACACTGGGTGTTTAAGCTGCTGCCGTCTGGCAGGAGGTTCAGGCTGCTGAGGTCCCGAACAAATAGACTCAAGGACAGCTTTTACAACAGGGCAATAGCCCTGATCAATGTAAATAGCTGACCTGACTGGATACCTCCCTGGAATTTTTAGGGGGAGGTAACAATGTTTAAAACGATAACAATAATATTTATATTTATAACAAGGTGCAATAATAATTAATGTGCAATAATAACAGTGTGCAATACACATACACTTATTCTTCTTTTTTATACTAAGTTAATATACTGTGTTGTGTTGTTTGTTACGTTGTGATGTGTCATATCGT